TCTTTCCCCCTTGCCCTTCCAGGGCTTCTCTGAGGAAGAGGCAGGGTCCAGTTCCCAGGAGTCCCCAGGGGTCTCACTTTACAGCCATGCCTGGAGCAGGCACTGAGGAGTGGGTTTTGAGGGCTGACCCTAGGTCACTTCCCTCTGCTGGAGGTTCTTCCATATGGTTTAGATCAGTAGCTGGGAGGGAGCAGCCCTGCCAGGGGCCTGGGGGCCTAGATACCTGGGTTCAATCCCAGCTCTAGAAGTGGGGTGAGGAATCTGGCAAGTTAGAACACTGCGGGGCTGGAGTCCTGGATGCCTGGGCTCTTTTCCTCAGCCCCTTGAAGCAAGTGGGGTATAATGTGTAAAGCAAGGGGAGTGATGGTTCAGATGCCTGGGTTTCATCCCAGCTCTGGGGATGGGACTAGCAGGTTAGAGCTGGGGGAGATGGCAGCCAGGACTCCTAAATTTTCTCTCAGCTTGGAGTGTGGCAGGAGCAGGCTGGCGGGTTAGAGCTGGGGGGCTGAGACTGGCAGTGTGGGGTGATGGTCTCCTTCCACTTCCCTCTCACTCTGCCCTCTCTCCCCCACACCCAGGTCCTGGCCACAGACATGTCAAAGCACATGAGCCTCTTGGCCGACCTCAAGACAATGGTGGAGACCAAGAAGGTGACAAGCTCAGGGGTGCTGCTGCTGGACAACTACACCGACCGGATACAGGTGGGGCTGGCTCAGAGACTACCCCCACCCAGCCAGGACTGCCCATTTCCCCCTTCCTTCCCCAAAATTAGGCCTACCCCCTCCACCCTTGACAGCCTGGATGCATGCACATTCCCCTTGGCCCCTCAGTCTAGCCAGATAGTGCTGTGGGTCTCCTGGCAGGGGAGCAGTGGTGACGGGCACCCCTGACACCTGCCCCTGGCCCAGGTGCTGAGGAACATGGTGCATTGCGCGGACCTGAGCAACCCCACAAAGCCACTGGAGCTGTATCGGCAATGGACGGACCGCATCATGGAGGAGTTCTTCCGGCAAGGTGACAAGGAGCGGGAGCGCGGCATGGAGATCAGTCCCATGTGCGACAAGCACACGGCCTCCGTGGAGAAGTCCCAGGTGTGTGTGTGGAGGGGTGGGGGGACAGGGCCTCTGAGCAGCTCAGACCCACCCTGACTGGGATCAGGGCCATGTTGGGTGCAGTACAGGCCCCCCAAGCTGAGATATGTGGGCCCCAGGCACTGTACAGACCTCCCAAGCTGAGATTGAGGGGTGCTGGGATGCTATATAGGCCCCACAGACTGGGATCAGGGCCTCCATCTTGCCAGTCACTGCCATGTCCCCATATCCTTCAGCCTCTCTGACCCTTTCAGACCTGTGTGACCTGCCCACATCTGGGTGCTGGACCCAGGTGTCTGCCCCCAAGCCCTGTGTGACCTGCTTGCAGCCAGATGTGGGACCCAGGCATCCAGGCTCCCTGGCTGATCCACCACCTCCCCACTGCCCTCAGGTTGGCTTCATCGACTACATCGTGCACCCCTTGTGGGAGACATGGGCTGACTTGGTGCACCCGGACGCACAGGAGATCCTGGACACGCTGGAGGACAACCGAGACTGGTATCATGGCATGATCCCGCAGAGCCCATCGCCACCCCCAGAGCCTGGCCCTGGCGTCGACCCCACGCTCGACAAATTCCAGTTCGAGCTGACACTGGAGGAGGAAGCCGAGGCTGAGGACTCAGACCTGCTCAAGTGCAGCCACCCCCTGCCTGGCACCGCCCTGGAGCCCCTGGGCCCTGGGGACCAGGAGAAGGATGGGAACACGGGACAGGACACAGCCAAGCCCGGGGGCTCATGACTCAGGGTTTGGCCCGCCCCAGCCCATGGGGCAGAGACTGAGGCCACAACGCTGCTCTCCTCTGTCTGGATCTTTCTTTTTATGGTTTTTTTTTTGTGTTCCGGCTCCGGTTCCGGGCTCTAGCCTCTGGCTCGGGTTCCTGCTCTGGTTCTAGCTCCAGTTCCGGCTCCAGTTCCACATTCTGGTTCTAGCTCCGACTCTAGCACGTGGTTCTAGCTCCAGTTCCATTTCCAGCTCTGGTTCTTGGTTTTGGTTCTAGGTCCAGTTCTGGTTCCCAGTTCCAGTTCTGGGGGTTTTTATCGTCTCTTTTTCTTTTTCGTTTTTTTTTTAAAAACTTTGGAAAAAGGAAAAAAAAACAGGAAAAAAAACCAAAATGGAGAACACGACAAAAAGGGAACACGCACACGCACGCACATGCGTGAGCCTGCGCCCACGCACTCACACACGCCAACTGTAGAGGTGGGACCCCCCCGCCCCCCGGCACTCTGGACACTTCTTGTTTCAGTTGTTAGTAAGGTTTGTTCCTGCTCCTGCGTGGGGTGGGGATTGGGAGGATCCCTGAGCAGCTCCCCCCCAACAACCACACCCCCAAGCCATGTCCAGCCCCAGAGATGCTGATTTTTAAACTGAGTGTGGATTGATGCTGGGGTGTGGGGAGCAGCCACTTAGACCTCTCTCACCCTCTCCCCCACCCCAGCCTCTGAGCAGTCCCCTCAGACCCAGTGCAGTGCCTTGGGCTGCCCCCCACCCCCTTAACACCTCTCTTTTTCTCCCTTAACTTATGGGGAGGGGGGTCCCTGGGGGAGGGTTTAATCTTTTCCTTCCCTTTGCAGTGGTGAAGCGTCTGAGAATTGATCTTGGAGCGGGAACACCCCCCCATGCGGGGCAGGGTCTGTTCTCAAGGGTGACACCCCCTGCCCCCCCATGCCACAACGTGGCCCCTCTCCTCCCCCCCTCCCCGCCAAGTCTTCCTGTCTCTGTCTTTTTGCACAAACCTGGCAATACGGCCACAGGGGACGAGTGAGAACAGCAGGAACCCCCTGCCCTCCCCATGGCCCCCTGCAGCTCTCCAGTTTGCCCTGACTTTTGCCTCATGATCAAGCCAAGATCCCATCCCTGCCCCCAGCAGACCCCAGCCCCTGCCCCACAGAATGCCCCTGCCCAGTGCCTCCCTCCCCTCAAGAGGAGCTCCAGGCCTTGTCCCCCACATCCCTCTTCGCTGCTCCAGCCTGGCTTAACCAGGGGACTTGGGGAACACATTCCCGCCAAGTCAGTGTAGCTGGATGCCCCCATGCAGCAGGCAGGGGGAGTGGGTGCCCAGTGCCCCTGGGGTCTAGCTGGAGATATTTGGAGGGGGGATAGTGAGGCCACAGCTGGGCCCCCTCCTTGGGGCAAAAGGTCAGTGCAACCCCCACAGGGCACCCAGGCCCTGACCTTCCCCCCAAGCTCTTGAAGCCATGTCCCTCCTTTGCATGGAGAGGCAGCCCTTGCCCTATTCTGTCTGGGCCAGACCCCCCCCCCAATGCATCCCCACTAATTAGGAGTGAAGCAATAATAAGCCCCCCTGCCCCACCCTGCTTCATCCAGCTTGCCACCAAAGCATCTCCATGCCAAGCCCCTGTTCCCCCAGCGCTCTCCTCCAGGGCTGCTCCCCCCATAACACAGTACTGTAGCAATCAATGTGTCTGCTCCAGCCTCCCTGGAGGGTGGGGCTGGGGGGGTCCCCATCCCCCCTCCCACCCTTCCCACCGTAGAGCTTTTATTTTTGTATGCGGGTCGGTCCGTGTGGGGCCGGGGTCGCCCTGTACATACTGTGAATAGCCACTGTAAATGACCCCCCTGGGAGAAGGGAATGCCCCCCTCATGGGGGGGCAGGGCTGGGGGAGCAGTGCTACCTGCACCCCCTGCCTGCCCCCCACACCTCTTGTACAGACCCCCCCACCATGTACCATACACCCCCCCTCCTGGGCACCGTCTGTCCTCCGTCACAATGTCCTTGCAATGTTCGCCCCTCTCCAGCCGGTCACAATAAAAGCCAGGAGGAATGGACTCGCCTCTGATTGCTGGGGGGTGCAGGGCAGGGGGCACAGGTGTGCACCACCAGGGGGCAGGTTGGGCAGGGCAACAGGGGCCAGCTGGGTGGGCAGGCAGGGCAGGGGCTCTAGGTGTGCAGGGTGGGGGCAGGGACTGTACCACCTGGGTTTGCAAGGGGGTGGGCAGCACAGTGTACCACCTGGACAGGGTGGGGGTACAGACATGTGCCACTTGGGCAGGGAGAGGCACAGGTGGTGACCATCCAGGTGTGCAGGGCAGGTAGGGGGACCATGGCTATGTACCACCTAGGGATGCAGGCTAGGTAGGGAATGTGGAGAGGAGGAAGGGGGACACAGATATCACCTGTGTGTGCAGGGCACAGATACACAACAGCCCAGCTACACGGTGGGGGGAGGGGGTCCCCTTAACTGTGCCCCTCCTGCCCACTGCCCCAGCCTGGAGCTAAGGATGAGCCCTCTGCCAGCCCAGACCCAGCGCTGCAGCCAGAGAAGACACCAGTAAAACACCCTCCCAAAGAAAGAGCTACTACCCCTGCCAGCCTTCCCTAAGGTGATCGGTACCTGCCCATAGGCCCGGCCAGCCAACCCTATACAAGCTCCACGGCCCCCTATAGGTCCAGTTGCCCTTTAGGTAGGGTGCAGGGGGCACCTACAGCACGGGCTCCCCTATGCACGGTGCAAGAGGCTCCTATAGGCCCGAGTTCCCCTATGCACAATGCAGGGGGTATCTATAAGCCTGGCCCCCCTATGCACGGTTCAGGGGTACCTATAGGCGTGGGGTCCCCTATGCACGGTGCAGAGGGTGTCTATAGGCCCGGGCTCCCTGCAGGGTGCCGCGTGTTCTGCTGCCATCTGGTGGCAGTCGACTGTGATAACACCCCTGTCAGAGGAAAACAGTTAGCGCATGCGCTTTCAGCCCGCTGACAGCGGAAAACGCACAGGCGCAGTCTGACCCGGCACAAGCAGGGACGCACAGTGAATGCGCAGCGGTCGCTGGCCGCTAGTGGCGTTCGAAGGCGCCAGTGCTGCTCATTGGGCGGCGCGGAACGCAGGCGGCCAGTGGCGTGGGTGGGAGGGGAGGGGCTGCACTCCCATTGGGTGGTGCGGGCTGCTGGCAGCCAATGACATGGCGCAGGGGGTAGGACGAGGGGCAAGGCTCCCCCTCTGAGGTGCGGCGGTGGGAGCATATAGGGTCGGGGTGCAGCGGTGAGTGCAGGGCACCGGGATCGGGATTCTCATCCTCCATCCCGATCAGGTATCTCTCCTCTTCTGTGCGGGAACCCCGCGTTTCCGGGACCCCCCCCCCCCCAATCCCCATTTCCGGTACCCTTGGCGGGTATCCCCACTTCCGGTTTCCCTCCCCCAGCCGGGCCAGAAGCTGGATTTCTGGTCCCCTCCTCTTCACCCCCAAGGTCCCTGCCTGCCGCCCCCAAACCCCGTGGGTCAGACCCCTCCCCCGAGCCCCCTCTTTCCTTGGGTCTGGAGGTGCCCAGATTAGGGTTTTGCAGGCAGGACAGGGGGCCTGGTTTCAAGCCTTGTCCTGGGGTGTCAGCTCTCCCATTCTTCATCTTGGATCAGAGGGGCCCTAGACAACCCTACTCAGCAGAGCCAGCTAAGCTGTGTCCCCTGCTAGCCCCGAGCCTGGGGAGGGTGAATGAGAGGCTAGCACCAGGGGGACTGCTCCCCTGCTCTTCAGCATGCACTCTAACAGCCCTGCCAATGTTTTATTGCAGACCCAGCAGGGCCACAGCCCCTGGACACCTTGCTCTGCACAGGTGACATCCCTGCCAGAGCATAGGGAGTGCTGGGACGTAGCTTGCAGGTGGGTGAAATGGGCTGGGGGAGTTAATCTCCTTCCTGGATGAACTCAGCTGAGGCTCTGGGTAGAGATGTGGGTGGGTTGGATGTGGGGCCTGAGCTGGGGGAGGTGCCTGTCAGCTAGTAACCCAGCCACCCCACTTGCTGGGAGCCCAGGGGGCTGGGCTGGGGGGGGTCAGGGTTTGTGCTCAGACCCACTGCAGCTGCTTCCATGGGCTCCCAGGGCTACACATTGGGGTCTCCAGCACATTCCTTCTTGAACCAATCTGCAGACCAACCGCATCAGGCTGGGAGCAGCCAGGATAGGACCCAGGGTGCACTCAGCTTCAAACCCCTGTATCCCCCAAGTGCTTGGAACTAATTCCTGGGGCTCATCCAAGCTGCTGGTGTGAGGCATGGGCAGGGTGGGAACTATAGCAGAAGCTGTACTCACCCCCCCTGCCTCCCACAGGGCTGGAGCCACGGGAGGGGGCAGGGGCAGCTATGCTCAGTGAAGGGATGCAGGAAATGGAGGTCATCAGCACAATGCTGCTGAAAGTGATGGCATCTGGGCGTGTGGAGGCCCAACTGCACCACAGCCTTGAGCAACAGGAGCGGGTGCTGGATGAACTCCTGGACACGCAGGCCACTGCTGCCCAGCTTGTGAGAGGTACAACCCCCCCCCCCCCCCCACAGCCCTCCTTGAGGGTCCCCCACGCCCCGCTGCAGCCCCCCCCCCCAGCCATATCAAGGATACTTGGCCTCTGCTGGGAGCCCTGAGGTCTTCTGCGCATGCATGCGTGTGTTGGGGGCATAGTGGTTCGAACAGGCAGGTAGGGCAGGGCAGCCTGGACACCTGGATTTTCTCTTGGCCATGGGACTAGCCCTGCCAAGGATGCCCAGCCCCTGCTAGGAGCCCAGATACCTGGGTTCTCTCCCAGCTGTAGAAGAGGGGATGGCGGAGTGGGGACTAGTGGCTAGAGCAGGATGGAGGTGCTAGACATCTGGATTCTGTCCCTGAAGACCTCATGGTCACGGAGGAGAAAGTAGCCCATCAGCTTCTGGCCAAAGAGGAGGAGTTGCAGCGCTGCCTCCAGCGGGTCCAGGCTCTGGAAGCCGATGCACAGGCAGCCACTGAGGAGGGCACAAGGCTGCAAGCCAGCATGGCATATCCTTCCCTGGTGGGGTGCAGGTGGGGCTCTGTGGGTTGTGGGGAAGGGCCCAGCCACAGAGGCGGCTCCTTCACTGCCTGGCACAGCACTGTGCATGGAGCTGGAGCAGCTGCGGGAGGAGATGCAGCGCCTGGACCAGGATGTGCAGGAGGATGCCAGTGCTGTCCCACCAGCCACGTGAGTCAGGGGCAGGGATGGGGGGTGAACAAGCAGGGGTGGCACCAGGTCCCCTCACCTGCCTGCAGGAACACTGGGGCTGGGCCCCCAGGCAGCACTCTCCTCAAGGCCTGGCTCAGCCCCTGTAGCTACAGGCAAGCCACTCCTGCTGCCACCCCTACCCCACCCTGTGCGCGCAAGCTGACACTCCCCATCCCAGGTACACAGCCCAGCTGTACTATAAGATCAGCCGCATCGACTGGGACTATGAGTGTGGCCCTGTGCAGGTTAAGGGCAGTATCCTTTCCTGTTGGGAGGTGGGGGGGTTCACCACCTCCCCTTTCCCCCCAGCTGCTGCACCCTGAGTTTCCTCAACCCCACCCCCCTCCAGTTCATTACGGTCCAGCCATCGCACAGCCTATCAGTATTGACAGCAGCCAGCACTCGCGCAGCTTCGTCGCCGACTACCTGTGGAGCCTGGTGGACACAGCCTGGGATGGGACAGGTGTGGGGAGGGCTGGGGGTCACAGTGCCCCCCAAGGGCTACCCCTTGCCAGTGCAAGTGGCTCAGGCTAATTGCAAAGGGGTTTATTGGTGTCATGGTGAAAATCAGATCATTAAACAGCCAGGTCCAGTCCCACAGCCTCATGCCTCTTGGGAGCTGGGGGGGCATCCTGGGGACTTCCAGGCCCTGAGAAAGGAAAGAGGCCATGTTCCCCAGCATCCTGGTTTGTGCCTGGGGGTGCTCAGTCTGGTCCATGTCAGTCAGGGCCTGTCTCTGTAGTCCTGCCCCGGGGCCAAGGGGGCTACATACAGCACTACCAGCAGGCAAAGGGTCCAGAGAGCGACGCCGCCACGGGGGAGGGCACCCAGAGGCTCCAGGGGCACTGGGAGCTCTGCATTGACAGCCCCAGCCCCTCCCCGGCCCAACCGCGGTGGCGTCGCCAGTGCTAGCAGTGGCAGCCGGGCTGATCACGGCAGGGCTCCATGGTGACAGCCACCCCCACGCCACTGCGACCCGACGTCATGCATGTCACCTCGGTCCAGGTGTCAGTGGCTGGGTCATAGCACTCCACGCTGTCCAGGAATGTGTGGCCATCATAGCCGCCTGCCAGGCAGAGATAGGAGATATGGTCAGCACCAGGCCTGGGCCACACCCCACAACCCTGCACAGGAACCTCTGGGGTCACAGATGAGTCAGACTGGCAGGGTGCTTGGGGTGGGGTCACCTTCAGCTGCAGAGACAAAGCCCCTCCTGGCCTGTGGGTCCAGTCCCCCTGACCCCAGCAACAGCCAGGCCCAAGAGCCGCAAGTTTCACGCCTAGGACCCAAGCCCAGGGATGGCAGCATGGTACTGGGAGAGACCAGTGTCTATGGCTGCCTGGAGCACCCTCCCCACCAGCCCAGGCACAGAGTCCCCCACAAAAGCAGCTCTTGGGGAGGGGTGGGGGGCGGGGAGGGGCTCACCCAGCACATAGATCTTGCCCTGGTACGTGGTGACGCCAAGGGCGCTGCGCCGGTGCCGCATGGGAGCCACAAAGGTCCAGGCATCAGCCTCCACATCGTAACGCTCTGTGCTGTTGAGCTGATCTGTGCCATCATAGCCCCCCATGGCATAGAGGCAGTTGTTCAGGGCACAGGTGCCTGGGGGAGCACGGGGTGGGGGGAGTCAGGGCTCTGCACCCTGCCCCCACCTTCCCCTGCCCCCCCCCCCCCCCCTCCCCCCCCCCCCCCCCCCCCATCAGCTCCCTGTCCCTGCTCACCAGCGCCACTGCGGATGGTATTCATGGGGGCGATAGGATGCCACTCGTTACGCTCGGGGTTGTAACACTCAGCCGAGCGCAGCCGGGCACTGCCATCAAAGCCACCCACAGCATAGAGCAGTCGGTTGAGCACGGCCACACCCACCCCGATTCGCCTTGTCTGCATGGGTGCCGCACGCTCCCATGCATCACACTCCGGGTCATACCTGCAGTACAGGGAGACAGGGTCAGGGCCTGGGAGGTGGGGGTGGCAATGAAGCCAGGCTGAGCTGATGCCTTCCTGGGACTGGGGTCTTTGGAGCCAGCTCCCCTCAAACTCTGCCCTTGCTCCCTTCCTATTACCCATACACACAGACTCTACTTCCCCCTTGAGTACCCAGATGCCTTGCTCCCTCACTCCCACCAGGACCCCTGGTTTCCCCCCACTCCAGCAGCTGGACACCTGGCTCCCCTCCACCTCTGTCCCTGCTTCCCTAGGCCAGGACAGCTTGCTCCTTGCCTTCTCTCTCCTGCACCTGGATGCTTGGCTCCCCTTGCCCGCCCCTCCTTCTCTATGCCAGGTCCCTAGCTCCCATCCCCAGGGCCCACTGGCAGCTCTCAAGTTGGGCCAGGACCAGGACCGCCCTGACCTCTCAACGCTGTCATGGTGGACACAGCCGTGGGAGCCGCCGACAGCGTAGATGAGGCCGTCAATAACGCCGACACCGATGCGGTTGCGGGGAACACTCATGGGGGCACAGGGCGACCACTGGTTAGTCATAGGGTTGTAACAGTCAAGAGCACCTGAGTCTGTGTTGCCATCAGGGGAGTTGTTGCGCCCACCCACGGCGTACAGCAGCCCCCCCACAGCACAGCTGGCCAGCCCACTGCGGGGCACCTCCAAGTCAGCCAGCCGCAGCCAGGCACCGTCGTGGGGGTTGTAGGCCTCCAGGAATCCAAGGGACTGGCGGTAATATCCACCAACTGCGTAGATGAGCTGGCCCACCTTGGGCGTCCGGCTGGGCAGGCGCTGTGTGGGCTTGTGCAGCGTCAGGTCCTGGAAGATCTGGGCCAGGTAGTCTTGGCAGCGTGTGTCACCCTGCAGCACCTCACACTCGCGAAGCTGTAGCTGCAGGAAGCCAGGACTGAGCGCGTGGCAGCGTACAGCACGCAGCAGCGCCTGCACATAGGGGCGCCGACTGGCGCAGTCATAACGCACCCAGTCAATGCAGGCATGGAAGACCTCAGACTCACAGCGCACGTTCAGCTCATCCCGGCTGATCAGCGTCACCAGCTGACAGTGTGACAGGTTGAAGAACTCCTCCTGCTTTGCCACCTGTTAACAGTGGGGGCATGATGAGGACACTGGGGACACCAGCCCTGTGCGCCCCCCCACCCCAGTTCTGGAGGTATGTGGTATACAGAGGCCCAGGTCCAGCCCCCACTGCCCTAAGGGGGGCACTGAGAGGACTTGAGATGCCCATAGGGGCAGTGGGAGGTCAGGGCATCTTCTCTCCTGCTGTCTTGATACCTCTGTCTCTGCAGATACTCTGAGTGCTCCCGTCCCCCAGCTGTGGCCCACCTGTGCCCACGTTCCCCCATCCTGACTCCAGGCTACTCCAGCCTTACTTTCTATATGAGTCTGGTTGCCCCTTGTCATGGCACATCACTAGCCCCCCCCTATTACCTCCATGGGGAGGTACCCAAGAGGCAGCCCCTTGCTCGGCCCTGCCTGGGTCAGCGACCAGGGGGTGCGACACTGACCAGAGCAGGCTGCATTCCACCCCAAACCAAGGAGGGAGTCTGGCCAGAGCCAGCCCCTCACCCTGGATCCTCCCAGACATGGAGTGGAGTCTGTTTCTATTGTGTTAGGGCTGTCGACTCCCGGCAACCCCACCACGACCCTCCCCTCCCCTCCCGAGAGATGTACTTACTGGGAGCCCCTTCCCTGCCTCCCACCCCTCCTCACCTGCCCAGAGTGCATGGAGTTGTACTCGCCGCAGCCCCCTCCTGCCCCCTGGAACCCTCCTGCCCTGCTCTTCAGCCCCCCCTGACCTCTGCAAAGTGCCTGTAGATGTACTCCCGCGCCCGCTGATGCAGCTCGCTGCAGTCAATCTGCTCGGCAAAGTTGGCGATGCCAATGGCATTGCTGGGGTCTAGCTGTTGGGCCAGGAAGTCAGCACAGGCGCGGACCACGCTGTCGATCTGGTACATGACGGCACCATTCATGACGTGCAGCACACAGCGCTCACCCACAGCAATGGAGGCTGTGTAGGCAAATTCAATGAGACGCTCCATGACCCGTGGGTGGATGCCCTCGATGGGCACCACCTCCATGCCCTGTTCCCGCAGCCCTGCTGTGAACATGGCACGGAAAACAGGGCTGGATGAGGCCAGCACCACTTTGTGGGCCTGGAAATCAGCAGGCGGCGCATCGCGGTAACGCACACGCAGTGTCACATCGCAGAGCTGCTGGCTCAGTCGTAGCTCATTCATGATGGCCAGCGCTTGGCATGGGTGCTCATCCAGTGTGTAGCTAAAGGAGCGTGGCCCTGCCGGTGATGGTGTCACCTCTGCCTGGCACTCAGGTGCATACATCTTGGCAGCTCCAGCGGAGGTTGGCTACACAGCTAAGGACAGTACTGTGGAGCTTGGGTGCTGGATGGTGCCGTCAAACCTGCAGGGGAAGAGGGAGGGGGTTAGAAGGGGGACCTCAAAACTGCTCTCCCACTGAAACCAGGGGAAGCCCAAATCTGCCACTGTTCCCCCACCCCAGGTCCTGGAGTGTGAGGGCTACAGCACACTGCCCAAAGTGGGAATAGGGGACCCAGATGTCTGGGAGGGGGGTAGGGCCCAGTAGCTGGTAGACGTGGGGGCCTGGATGCCTGGGCTCATTCCTAGTTCAGGAACAGCAGTAGGACCCAGGGGGGTTGCTGGGAGCTTGGACACCTATGTTCCCCTCACTCTGGGTCCTAGATCACCCTGTCAGGTTGGTTTCAGGGAGGACCCTAAACCTGCCCCCCACCTAGAACCAGGGGGACCACAACCCTGCTCCCCCTCCCTGAAACCAGGACAGGACCTGTCTGGCACCCTTAATCACCAGGCTGGCCTCACAGTTTTGACCTGTGGGGACACTGCATCCTGGGTGACTGGGAGTGCAGGCCCAGCAGTTAGGTGCATTATGGTAGCAGCCCCCCAACCACCTTCAAAAGGCAGGGCTGTCCCATAGCCCCAGGCACTGGGCAGACCCCCCATGCCAGTGGTTCCCCCTGGGCTGAGCACCACAAGCCCTTCACTGGGACTGTTTCCCCCCCAGTGTCAGGGGCTGCACCCAGGGCCTTGGCTCCCCAAACCCCCTCCCCCACTGCCTCCAGGCTTGGACTAGGCGCCCTGGTCTCCGTTCCACCATGCTGGAACCAAGGGGACTCGCTAGCAGGCAGGAGCAGTACCGGGCCCGTGACACAGCCGCCCTGCCAAGGGTGGCGCCTATCTCCGTCTCCTCCCCAGAGCCCTGGGCCGGTACGGGCTGGCGTAGGGAAACTGAGGCACGCTCGCAAGAGGGCGAAAACATGGGGCCCAGTGTCCCCGCACTCCCCTCCCCAAACCAGCGGAGAACCCAGGCATCCAGGCTCCCAGCTCCCCGCCCCAGGCCCTGCTCCCCTCCCACCACGGCGGACGGAACCCAGGCGTCCGGGCGGGGGCGGGGCCGGGCCGGACCCCCACTCCGGCGAGCAGGGCGCGATAACGTGTTGCAGCCGAGGGGCGACCCCCACTC